TGTTTATTGTGGCATTTAAAATGCTTTCTTTAAGAAAAAAAAAAAAAAAGAAGAAACATTTATAAAAACAATTTCGTCAGATATATTATATCGCAATATTTTTACACGGAACTTCTTCCCGGCAGAGAAAAAGCTAGAGAATGGGAAAATGCTAATTTCAACAAAAGTATGTGGAAAACGAGGAATTCAGGACTGCAGTCTGTTGACGGGTACATATTGATGGCATTAAAATTATTTCTAAGAGCATTTAAAGAGCATTAAAAAGCATTAAATTAGAGTTACTCACTCCTGTATGAACCCTGTTGAATGACTGGCTGAAACTGTGGCTCACCACAGACATACGCCTGAAAGTGTGCATATGCAGAAAAAGATTGCTAACTGGGGATGAGCACGTAAGATGGCCTTACATGTTATCACCAGAATGATGGACCGCTTACTGTATTTAGATGATCCACCCAGAAATAAAAGATCGTCCTCTCTACCTTTCATGACAATGACAATAATGCTATGTCCTCTAGCAAAAATATTTGGTTCTTGATACACTTGTAATTTTCTAAGTTTAATCTAAGTTTGGACAACATATGCATTCCAAGTTGCAGTGGTTACACTTTGATTCATGTTTTTCTGTGTTTTCTAGTTTATTGATTCATTGATTGATTGATTCATTTTTATTTTGAGTTGTTTTCTTGTTGTATTTGAGTTCCTATGTATTTCTTGTTTAACCCTCTGCTGCCCTCTTGTGTCCATCTCCTTCCCATAGCTCCCTTTTAGATTTTTCTGTCCACACCTGCTCCAAATCAGTTGATAACACCAGTCTTTGTTCTGTTTGACATATATACTCCTTCTCTTCAGTTCAGTTCTACGTTCAGACCGCGCGCTAGAGGCAGCAGAAGCAGCTAGTTTACATGCAAAATCAATGGTTGAAGCGCATCAAGGCACAGCAAAAGGTCCTGCTGCACGTTTTAAGCAGCAGGGGCAGTGTGTCTGAGCAACTGAATTATTTGGTTTTCTGTATTTCGTTATTTAGGATTTTTGCTTCTGTTGCCACCTTTTGGATACTTTTGGATTTTAAGTCTTCAAGAAACCACCTCAGCCTTCCGCCTCTGCATTTGGGTCCTCTTCAAACTGCCATACAACCTGACAGTATTTAGATAAGAAACAAGAAAAGACTTGTTGGAAGTTGGTGAAATATTTTAAGTGCTTTAAAATATAGTATTTGAATTGGTTTAGATGAAGGGAATAATGTGATCCACAGGCTTACTAATGATTTGGTTATCTTGGGTAATGAATGTAAAATTAATAAGAAAAGAAATTAAAATGGGCCAGTTCTAATTCTGACATTTCTGGGTTATCTAATAAGTTTAGCCAATTTAGGATTTAAAATTTTTCCCTTCAGCTTGGCTTCTTTGTGTATTATCCCTAAACGTCTTAAAGTTCATACATGTGGTTTTACCTATTATTCTTTTATCTATAATTTATATATATTGCTGACAGAGAGTTACCTTGATTTCCATATACATCCAATTTTTGTTTAACAAAAACAACTAAACCAAAAGTTACATCTAATAACATGCAGTTGTGCTTGAAAGTTTACATAACCTCCTATTAAAAAAATTATAAATTCACACCATTAATTCAAATAACACAAAACTGAAAAATGTAATTATTAAAATACACTATACACTTTTATTTAGTAAAATTTCTATTTCTTTTAGTTTAGTTTAGTATCACATTTGTCAGTTGCAGTCTTTTAACTGGCGCCTGATTGTTTTCTGTCTTAAAGAAAGGGTATGTAAACTTTCTACTGTATGGATTGAATTTATTTACCATAATGTAAAACGCCATCTAAATCAGTTATATGAATACATGGCTGTCTCTTGAGAGAATTTATTAAAAGCAATTTCATAAAATTATTTTATCTAATGATGACCCTTTAAAAGGCACTTCAAATAGCAAATTATGTACTGTATACAGAAAAAAGTATGATAAACTAGCTGTTTTAACTAAAGTTTATGCACTGACTATTTAAGCTAAAAATATCACACACATATTAGAAAATAACTTTAGATAATAAACAAATGAATCTAAATCAAGGATCATGAAATAAATAAATAAATAAATAAATGGATTAGAAAAAAATCTAATTTCTAGATATATGTCAAACTTTACTGGATCCCTGTGAGATATTTACCAAGTATGGTTCTGCATCACTGTTGTCGACCCTTCTTTTTTCTCTTAATTATCTGACTTTGTTTTAGCCTTTTTGGTGTTGTGTAAGAAGATTCAATATTCTACTCTTAATGGTGATATTGTGAATCCCCTGACAAGCCTTCTAATTTAATACCCCATGACACTGAGCATCAAAGCTCTAGTGGAAACAGAGTTCTTGGAAACACATTTTACGTGTAAATTAAATATATTTCACTTGAATCTGTTGTAACATCAGTTGACTTCTAAGAAAAATGCAACAATTGCAACATGATGAGTACAATGATGGCCCTTTCTCTGATAATTCTAGACAAAACGATCAATACACAACTATGTAGTTCTTATATATCTTTCTTTCTTCAACTTTGCACATCTTAGTTTCAAAAATACAGCTAAGATTAATCAGTAGGGGAATTTTAAAAAGTCTCTTCCAGTTATGTATTTCACCAGAAAGATGCAGATAATTTGGTGAAACAATGTTACCCAAAAACAAATAATGCATGTATTTGGTCTTTTAGATGAAAATGTAAAAAAATGAATGCAGCCCAGTATTGAAAGGTATGATTTCAAATACTGTGGCAATTGTGTTGTGCTTAAAGTGGGCAGATTAATTGGTCTTTTTTCTTTTAAATAAATAGGACTTCATGTGGCTTTTAATACAGTGTCTAAGTATTGACTAGAGTGGGGGTTAAAAAAATGCATTTCAAACTTTATCAATAAAATGATGTTGCAAAACTTTGATCATATTACCCCCTTGTCACCCTGCATATTTAACATTTTGTATTCACCTATACCATTGAATCCTCAAAATACATACATCTGGTAAATGCACAAACAATTTAAAAGGGGGCAGAATAGTTTCGCTTGGAGCTGTAAGACAGGGAAAATTGTTGAAATTTTCTGAAGGGCCTCTTGTTAAACCTGCCTTCCTAACCCTGAACTGGGCATCTGACCTTCAATCATATAGGTGGTCATGTGCTCAGAGGCTGACTTCCAGCGAAGAGCCTTCATCTCAACATTATTTTTTATGTATTGGCTTGAGCTTGTTTTTTCCTACCTTTATGGAGCCAATTTAATTGGTTTAACTGTATATGTCTGGAAAAAAATAGATCACTATGTTGTTAAATCTCTAATTTAAACCTTCCACTGTTATGCAGATGCCTCCAAGGTTTAACTCCCTCTTAAAAAAAGCCAAGGGCTGCTCCTTTTTTCATTGTTCATATATCTCAATGATATAAAGTCCTGGATGGCCTCAAACTTTTTGAATTTAAATGAGCAAAACATAGATATTGGTTCTGTGGCACAATATGTTTAGCCTGTTATCACAAATCCTGGATTTAAGATGGATGCTGATCTTAAACTTGAAAGCCAGATCAGGATGGTTGTCAAATGATTTTTTTTCATTGAGGCAGCTAGCTAAAGTAAAACCATTTATAGCGAGGCAGCATTTAGAAACAGTGATCCATGCATTTGTATTGTAACTTTTAGGCTGGATTACTGTAACTCACTTTATCTTGGAGTTAGTGATGCATCTCTTAGGCGCCTGCAGGCTGTGCAAAATGCTGATGGACGACTTGTAACTGGATCTAAAAGGTTTGAGCACATTATCTCCATATTAAAACTTGTTTTAAATTTCTCTTGTTTAAATCTCTTAATGGTTTGCAATTAAGATGCTGCATTTGCGTACCCTATCCGATCCCTAAATTCTGCAGACCAGAAGCTCCTTGTTGTTCCTATATCCAAGTGGAAACAATGAGGAGATTGTGCCTTTGCTGTAGCAGCTCCAGTTATGGAATAATCTGCCCTTGGTTGTCAGGCAGGCATCCACTATTTCAGAGTTTCCATATCTTCTTAAAACACCCCACTTTGCTAAGGCATTTTGTATATCCTGAGACCTTATTTTTTTATTTAACTTAATTTTTTATCTTCTGTTTTAATTACTTTTCATTTGAGCTACTTTAACACTACTTTTAATTCTTAATCTTTATTTTAGCTTGTTTGTATTTCTCTGTCTATTTGAATTTTACTGTTGCTTTCAATTGTATGTGCAGCACTTTGATGACCTTTGTTTTTTTTAAAGAGCTATATAGATAAAAGGGTATGGTATGATATATCCTTAATGATAATTCTTAAAAACAAAATTCTACATCAGGTCTAGAAAAGTTCCATTTTATGAGCAGGTATAGGTAAATTACCAAAACTGCATAGCAGTAAGTAAGTAAATGTTGCCATTCAAGAAGTTGTAAAAAGGTTACTCAACTATATAGTATATACTGTACACTTGTCTGACCTCCAACTGCCACAGCGGCTTCAAGCTTGTGTAGAAAAAATAACTTTCACTTTAGCATGTTAATTCATTCATCCATTCAGTGATGTTACTCATGATGGGCAGAATCAAAAAATGTACTTAGTTATTTAACATTATAATGTGACCTAAATAAAAGTATAAAAAAGGTGGAGTAAAAGTAGATTTTTCTTAAGTAAATTAGACTGAAAAATCAGCTAGTTACCCCTGTGAATGATTCTGATGGGACACTAAGCTTAAAGCTAATTTTAATTCTTTTTCTTTTCATTTTTGGGGAAGGCGTGTGACTCGACCACAAGGAACAACTAAACATCACATTATCCTCTGCTGCAATTAAGTGGTTGTACAACATAATAGCTCCTTCAGACAGATTCCTGGTATTTTTTTCCAGATCTTGCTGCAACTCACAGCCAGGCTTGTCAGGTGGCCATCACAAGACCAATGTCTTAATCCTCTTCATCCCTACAAAAGCAAGAATGCACATTAGAGGCGTCTTAATCTGCGTGTAACCAGTTGCAACACGGCGTGCTTTGGCTTTAACTGCTTTTTCCAGAGATTTTAACTTTATCACTGAATCTAATTTGAAGATACACAGCAGCAGACCGTGGTTGAGTGAGATTCCACACTCCTTGGGGGGGAAACAAATTGACTACCTCACATCGACCACTTGATCTGCAAATTGATTTTTTTTAACATGTCATTGGAAGAAAGAAACAGGTGGAATATGAGGACCGTGCTGCTTCTCTGCATTGTATCTTTGCTTCTCTTTGTTTACCCTGCAGAGGGGCAATTTCCTAGAGCTTGCTGTACAGTGGAGAGTATCAGGTCTAAGCAGTGCTGCCCTTCTCTGGGTTCAGATCCTGCCAACGTCTGCGGCTCTCTGTCAGGGAGAGGAAACTGCAGTGCTGTGCGAGTCGACTCCAAACCCTGGGGGGGACCCTACAGACTCAGAAATGTTGATGACAGAGAGAGATGGCCCACCAAGTTCTTCAATCAGACTTGCAGATGTAATGGTGAGTGAATGAAATAATGTATGTGTAAACCATCACAAACACCTTAAATTGCAAATATTTTAAAATTGGCTTTTTGTGCTTCAGGTAACTTTGCTGGTTATAACTGCGGTCAGTGTAAGTTTGGTTGGACAGGTCAGAACTGTGACCAGAGAAAAACACCTGTGCTTCGGAAGAACATCCACTCCCTAACCAGTGAGGAGCTCCAGGAGTTCTTAGATGTCCTGGATCTGGCTAAGAACACCATCCACCCAGATTACATGATTGCCACACAGCACTGGCTGGGCTTGCTGGGACCAAACGGGACTGAGCCACAGTTTGCCAACATTTCCATCTACGATTTCTTTGTCTGGCAACATTACTACTCAGTCAGAGACACTCTTTTAGGTAAATAAAAATTTTGATATCTTTAACAATCAAAATCCTATTGAATAAGGAGATCAAATTACAGTTTATGGTGTTTAGAAACAGACATAACTGCATATGATGGGGCTAGATGATGCATTATCTTTAAGTTTATGTTTAAGCTAAGGTACTAATTATAGAAGAATAATAATTCATACATCTGTAGGAAAGCCCCCTGCTGAAATCTAGAGTCAGGGCTAATCCTTTACAAGTGTTCTTAAACATTTAGTATTAACTATATTTGTATCAACTGAACTGATTTTTAGTATTTTGTGTAGAGCCATATTATAAATTATTGGATACCATGCTTGTTCTAATGTTAGTTTTGAAAATATATATAATATACTAATTTTCCTGCAGGTCCTGGTCGCCCATTCAAAGCCATAGATTTCTCACATAAAGGTCCAGCATTTATTACCTGGCACAGGTACCATCTTTTGAGCTTAGAAAGAGAACTTCAGGTAATGTATGTCTATCTGTAGAAATACAACTTAATTTTTATGTAAAAAAAAAAATAATAATAATATTAAGGATTTTATTATTGTCTCTTACGGCAGAGACTCACAGGTAACGAGAACTTTGCGATTCCGTACTGGAACTTTGCCACAGGACAGAGTGAGTGTGATGTGTGTACAGACTCTCTGCTTGGAGGCAGGAACCCAGAGAACCATTTCCTCATCAGTAACCAGTCCAGATTCTCCAGATGGGGGATAGTGTGCAACAGGTCAGCAAAACAAGGGATGGGAAAATACTGTGCGTTTTATTGGAAGATGAACACCCCCGAGCTATATCATTTAGAGATGAATGCTTTAGTGCAAGACAACTTCCAGGGAGAGGAGAACTGGCTAAGCTCTGGCATTAATGTTTAAGCCACAGCATGGCAATTGTATCACGTTTTCCAGATTTTAGACATTAGCCCAACAAAAACATAGGTATTTAGTGCTCTGGAATCCAGTGATACAGCTTTGATAAGTCAGATTTTCCAAAAAAGTTAAAAAAACAATCCACTGGACTTTGTTTCCAAGTTTGAAGACATTTCTCTACCATCCAGAAAGCTTTTTCACCTTAAAATGTCAGAAATTTTGTTGAGTTCAAGGCTTTATAGAGTTGACCAAAAACAAAGCCTTGTTTTGGATTCGAAAACATGCAAACTGAACCGGACAAACGGGTACACCCCTTAGGAATGGGCAGTCGTTTGGGTTCTTTGTTAGCCTGCAATACCTGATACCTGTCTATGTCTCTGAAATTGGGTCGTTAGGGGGAATTGTTGGCCTGACTGAACAAGCAAGATGTTCTGTTCAACTGTATGGGGATGGGGGTTGCGATGATAGTGGGAAGGAATCTTTATTGCTGAATTGTAGTCTATAAAGCCTCAAACTCAACGCTATCTCTTACATTTTGAATTGAAAAAGCCTCCTGGATGGGAGGCAAAACGTCTTCAAACTTGGAAACACACACCAGTGGATTGTTTACTTTTACTTTTCTGGAATTATTTTGAGCTGGATGCCTGAGAATCTTTACCAGCAGAAGTCAGAATTTATATGACACAATAAATAAAGAGCAATGTAATGTAAAATTTTTTTTTAAAATGTATTACCAATGAGTCTGAACTTTATCATATAAGTATTTAGAGATCCCTTAGATTCACCCTTTGTTGCAATTTCAGCTGTAATTCTTTAAGGCTGTGTCTCTCCAAATGTTTGGGTCCCAAGGCTAAATATCTTTGGGCATACTTCTTTGTAAAAGACCTCAGAATCAGTGAAACCAAGGGAATGAATCAGTAAACATCTGATTTTAAGTGTGGACTTTATCTGAACCATTTATATAAATAATTATGCTTTGCTCTAAGCTGCTTTATTATGGTTCTGTGAGCAAATTTAGGGCCAAGCAGCTCTAATCTTAAGAGTTTAAAGCCTTTAAAATCATTTCAAGGATTTCTCTGTTTTTCAGTCATCGTTTTATTATATCTTATTTATTCATGTTAAAAAAAGATTTGGATGACCACATTAACAATAAATAAAATTAAATATGTTCTAACATGACAAAATACAGAAAAAGATCAGGCTGCATAAGTGCTTGTTCAATCAAATGCAGGTCTCAAAAAACAGGTCTTAAAAAATACAACTAAAGTATTACAAGTTTGTCCATTTTGTTATGAAAAAAGTTAACTCTTTATTTTCTTGTTCTAGTTTGGACGATTACAACCGCCTGGTGACTCTTTGTAATGGCACAAGTGAGGGATTTATTCAAAGGGGGTTGGTAGGAAGAACAAACATGTCTTTTCCTACCATGACTGATGTAAGGAGCTGTTTGGGAATTAGAGACTTTGATAGCCCTCCATATTTTACCAACTCCTCCTTTAGCTTCAGGTAAAAACAAACACCTTGTTTCATAAATGTGTTTGAAGGCTAGAAACTCACTGCAATAATGTAAAAAACAGTAATTGATTAATTTGCTTAAATTGAACAGAAATGCACTTGAAGGGTATGAAAAGCCAGATGGAGAACTGGATGACTCTGTTAACAACCTTCACAACCTTGTTCATGCTTTGCTCAATGGAACCAGTGCTTTGTCCCACTCTGCAGCCAATGATCCCATCTTTCTGGTAAAAATTCAATTGCATAGCATTAATCAAAATAAATTAGGATTCAGGCCAAATAACAAATCTGTTTCTGTCTTCATTTTAAAGGTTCTTCATTCTTTTACCGATGCAATTTTCGATGAATGGATGCGCAGGTTTATTCCATCCAATGCCACCTACCCAGATGAAATGGCCCCCATCGGTCACAACAGGGACTACAACATGGTTCCTTTTTTCCCTCCAGTCACCAATGAAGAGATCTATGTCACATCCGATCAGCTGGGATATTCATATGCTATTTCCCTCGATGGTGAGTAAATACTCAGCAAACAAGTTAAACATGATTAGAGGGCCATTTTTCTTTGTACCTGAATGTTCACTTATTGTGGCAAGAGTTTTTTTCTTCCTCTGTGTTTTTTAATGGGTCCTGCATTAAGCTCAGTTGTGTTTTATTACAATTTTATTCATCTATTTCATTTATAAGGCATATTAGGTCAAGCAGGTGTTGAGAGAATTTGGTGGAGATAAATCCAGCTGTTTAGAGCTTAAAACTGCTGTAAAACTGAATATGGCTCCATCTCTGTCAGGGGAGTCGATATGTGGTACTGTCAATCAACAGACAACTCCAGAATTTCATGACATTTTATCATTAATAAGTAACCATAACATTTGTTAATTTTATCTTTTTAATTGTTTAACTTTATTTTGTAGCACTTTGACATAGGCCATTGTTGAAGTGCACTATAAAAGGTATTTATTATCAATAAATTAACATTTCTAGAATATTTATTTTCATTATTAGCTCCAAGTCCTTGGCTTAGATCATCATCTTTCTTTAAAGCCACTCTTAAACTGTCAGTTACGTACAAATTCTTTTTAATTTTATTTTATTAGATCACCTGCAACATGTCGACTCATTGAAGGCACAATTTTATTTTTTGCAATTTAACACACCTTTTAAGGAAATTAACAGTTTATTGATGCTTCAATAATTCATTAACAGTTTATAGAAATATTTAAATATTAATTCATTATATGTGCTAATAGCATATATGATCTTATCCTTTTTATTTAGTACAATTGATAGCCCTGGGCGTGCAGGTGGTACAGTGGTTGGTCCTCAATGCTGGCGACTGGGGTTCGATTCCGGCCTGTGGTCCTTTCCCGCATGTCACTCCCTCTCTCTCATAACCCCTTTCCTGTCAGCCTACTGTTGAAAAAAACAGCCACTAGTGCTGTAAAAACAAAAAAAAAATGAGATAGCCCTGTTTGTGGGGCTTTAAGTGTTATAGATAAGGTGGTTTGTTAACAGATGAGCCAACGTGCGGCATTTACTGTAGCCAATCAGCTTTACAGTCTATCTGATAACGCCTAATAACTATTTAAATGATTATTTTATTCAAAATACATTTCATTTGAAAATTTTAGGCTTTACTAATTAAATGTATAGTGGGGAATTTTCATAAATTTTGAAAAGACCTGCCGTCTTTTCAAAATAAAAAAATAAAAAATGCACATGCACAACCCTGTACCCACTACCGACTACTGGGGCCGACAGTGACGTTGGATGTAGGAGTTTGCCCTGAAATCAAAGGGTTGACTGTTCAAGTCCTGACTCCGACTTTCACTGTTGTTGTGTTCTTGGGCAAGACACTGATTTGTCTACTGATGGTGGTCAGAGGGCCCAGTGGCGCCAGTGTATGGCAGCCCTGCTTCTGTCAGTGAGCCCCAGGGCAGCTGTGGCTACATTGTAGCTTGCCACCATCAGTGTGTGTGTGAATGGGTGAATAAATGTAGTGTAAAGCGCTTTGGTCAAGTCTCTTGACTTGAATAAAGGCGCTATATAAGTACATGCCATTTACCATTTACCGATAGGAAACACTTATTCGTGCAAGAGCATGCACAAGCCCATTTCTCCTCATGCACGCTCTGTTCAAAAGAGCTTGCAATTTTTCCACTATGTCGGACTTACCATGGGTAAGTGTAAAATGTGAGAAGCATGTAGGATGCCCTTACATAAACATATCACCAGAATGATTGACAATTAGGAGCACCACTTATTTTGATGATCCACTTTGAAAGATAACATCCTCCACTATAACTTTAATATATCACGCAGGGAATGATTTTTGACCAGGTTCAGGGACTAAATATTGTTATTACCTTATCAACACTGATAATCGCAACTGAGCAAAGTAATCAAATTTATCAAAGATGAAGTCAATATCATTGATGATGTCCTTAAATGTTACATTAGGATTATTCTGCTGAACATGTAAACTTTTAGTTTTTCTGTGTGTTTCTCTTTTCTACAGATGCAGATGAGGGAGCTGTATTTGTACTTGGCTCCACGTTGGGAGGTGTCTTTGTTGGTCTACTGGTGCTCCTCCTTATCTTTGTGCTCTACCTGCGTCAGCGTAAAAACAGAGGCTTTGAACCGCTGATAAGAGCAGATTTCACAAACAGAAAGTACACAGAGGAGGCCTAGCTTTCACCTGTGGTTCCAAAATGAAATCCCAGCGCTCAAACGTACCTCAGAGCAATGGAGCTGTCAGTGTATGATGTTAGAAAATTCCCAGTCCTACAATCGAATGAAAAACCTTACCTTTAGTTTTTAAGTTTAACCATTAAAGAAAGTTTATCTTGTGTACAGTGCCTTGCAAAGGTTTTCATATGCCCTTAAATATTGTTAAATTTCCTATTTTAAAACACAATCTAACAAAAACCAGTTCAAACCAAAACAATTCATTTATTGAAAGAGACAGAAAATTATATATGGATCTAATTGAAGAATGGTACTTTCTAACCCAAATGGGCTTTGATATATATATTCCATGGTAGCTGTGGCTATGTTTTCAATGTTGTTCTTCTGAAAAAAATGACAAATTTTTCAGGCTTTTTATAGACTTTCCCCCCTATTTATTTAGCAGGGGTGTAAATCACCAGCTTGATTATGATACAATGTTCTATTGATTTATTGGGATGATGCTAGGCTGTTTGCAGATATATTACAGCACAACTTCCATTAAAGTCAGTTCTCAAGTCCACGACTGATTTTAAGTAAAATCATTTGACCATCTAACACAACAAGCTAAAGTATGATTTGACCATTTTTAATCCAATCTGTAAAGCAGTTGTTCCATTAGCAGATTCTTAGAGTTGAGCTGTTGATCCCTACAGCTAGATTGGAGTTACCAAGGGGCTGTTATCTACTGTTTAGGAAACGCTTTCGTCAGCTATACCTTGGTAGGCTTGTAGTTATCCCAATCAATAGATTCTTATATAACTGAAAATGCTTGATAAAATGTTGAAAACTTAGGATATTGTTCGATAAACGATAAGTTATTCCTTCTTCTTCCTGATGCAGATCTTTTTTTTTATAAAGTTCTGTAAAAGAAACCTTTACAAAACTGCTGTGTAGGCTTATTTATTAAGATGCATGCTGAATAAATATCTTCATACCCGACTCATGATTGGAGTTGCTACACTTGATTTCAATAATAGGCATCAGACTGAATGGATTTGAGTGCAAATCAATGCAACTTTTCAGATCATTATATGTATATAATTATTTTTATATAGATCTTTATGTATCAGTTTTATTCCACTCCCCAGTTCTACATTCTGCAAGTTGCTAATTCTAAAACGTAAACAAAAGTTTGTGGCAACGAATTGAAAAGCTTAGGTGGTATGCAAAGTTTTGGGAGGCACTGTAAAAAAGTAAAATGTCAAATTTCTTTTTAAAAAATATCTTTAAAAAAAAGTTATAAAACTCAGTATTCTGTAAAAAAACCAAATCAGAATTAATTCTCAAATGTATTAAGACAGAAATGCAATGACCTCAGGGTTAATATACATTATGGCATCTTTGCTCAACTAACTCCTTACCTCTAAATAAAGAATAAATATAACTGTGATTTATAGAATTGATGTAATTCCGCACTGGATGAGCTGTTGTTTTAACTTTTATTGCAGAAATGTTACAAATTCAATGATTAAAAAAAATAAAACACAAAAAGGGCATCTTGTGAGATCAACATTCAGAATAAAGAATCATGTTCATTAATAAGCACTGAATATGTTCTCTCTGTTGGTGTTCCTGCACTGTGGATTTAAAGAAGTAGTTCAAAACAATATTGAAAAGCCAGATAGATTTTCTTTAATATTTGTGAAGGGGAAAACATAGGCTAATTCTGTGGATGTCTACGCTCAGTTGGCCCTCTGGTTATGAACCTGACAGGCTCTCAGGGAACAGGGATCCTACATCCAGACATGTTTTGTCCGCGCCCCTCAGCGGTGCCAAGGCCTCTCACATTCTGTGTAAGTACGCTCTACTGAGGAGCTTCACTGAAGCATTCAGGCCTGTCGGGTCCCCACAGATTCTCATTTCACAGGTGACTGTGGTCGGCTTCAAGCCTGTCTGTGCTGCAGACATAACCATTCAAGCTTTCCAGATAAATTCAGGGAGTCTTTCTTAACATTCCCTGTCACCAATGTGTGCTGTTGGCCGCTTGCCTCTCTTAATAACTCCCACACATCCTACAAATATGGTAATATGTGTTTCTATGTTCTTTTCAAATCTGTGAATCTGTTTGAAGATGGTTTTTGACTTTTCTTTTGCAACAGTGCCCATTCAAAATACTAAAACAGTTACACAGTAAGCACTTTTCTAAAAAAAAAAAAGGCAAAAGTTCCAGTAAATATGAAACATGTTTGATATGTTATTTAAATATTTGGTTACTATTGTGTAAAGTATTCTGAGGAAGCAGCAGAGAACAGGATAGACTCGTTTGCTTTGAAATGATATAGATTTTACAGCAGAACAAGAGAATAGATTTGCTCTTTTAAAGCAACACCAACTGTAGAAAAACCCACATTGACTTAAATTGATAATTTATTCTTGAGAGAATATTTAAATTGCGTATTTTAATTTATGATAGCAACTAGAAATCTCCTAATCTGAATTTCTTGCCAACCACTAGTGTTAAAAGGGTTGTTCAGATGTCTGAAATGGGTTTCTGTTGAGAGATTATGAACAGTCAATAACTTACCTGCAGCAGATAGTTCCATTAGTCCTCATTTTGATAAAAATAGATTACATTTGACCCCAATAGGTTAGTAAAAATACAACTGAACATACTTATATATATATATATATATATATATATATATATATTCAGTTGTATTTTTTTTACTAACCTATTGGGGTTATATATATATATATATATATATATATATATATATATATATATATATATATATATATATATATATATATATATATATATATATATATATATATATATATATATATATATATATATATATATATATATATGTTCAGTTGTATTTTTTTTACTAACCTATTGGGGTTATATATATATATATATATATATATATATATATATATATATATATATATATATATATATATATATATATATATATATATATATATATATATATATATATATATATAAATCACCTTAAACTAAAGTGCCTTCTAATAAGTATTAAAGAAGCCTGATGTTATATTTATTGGCAACTATAGAAATATATATATATATATATATATATATATATATATATATATATATATATATATATATATATATATATATATATATATATATATATATATATATATATATACCAGGTATATATATATTTATATGTATAATTTTATTTACAATAAAATATATATATATACCAGGTATATATATATTTATATGTATAATTTTATTTACAATAAAGACTGCATTGGTCCATGGTGTACTGAAATTGCACTTCATTACTACATCTTTTGACATGCTAACGGTCTGATGGTAAAATAAACAATAAAAACAATTAATAATGGTTTTAACTGATACGTTTTTTTGTTATTCATTGTTACTTGGGCATAACTATATTCAAATGTGTGCGTACATGAGTGGCATTAATTTTTCCAGACCACTTTGAAGAGAACAAAGGAATTTCTTACATCAGGAGCTTAGGCTTATTTCCTTGTGACATCAATTAGGACTCTTAGATCAAACACAAGCTGTTTTATCTTGAAAGAGTTACAGTATTTTGCTTTGTAGTTGAGAACCCGACGACTGCTGTACTTGCATCTGCGCACTGGCTTGCTTTTGGCTGTTGTATACTATATACCATATTATACTACTATATACTGGCCTTATTATGCATAATGTGCACCGGCTCACTTTAAATCTAACAGTAAAAGCTGAAGGTCCAGATCTTTACTGATTTAAAGGGGTAGATTATGCTGAGTTCTCTACCTCAATTTCTGTTGGCAATGCCTCTAATCCTGCTGCTGGCTGGGAGAGAGTCCAGGTTAAGGTTTCTAGATAGAAAAAAGGCAAGTACTGAAGCTGGACCTGAATACATTCTGTAAATTCTACCAGGTAAACATAATCAGGGAAAAAAAAAAAAAAATATATATATATATATTTTTTTATTGTAACACGTTCATTGTAAGCTCGGTAAAGGTAAAGTAAGAGTTTGAGTTACAAACATATTGATCAAGCAAACGCCAAGCAGCTAAGACTGTTAAATGACATGATCATTTATATTTGTTATATACAGTAGTAGCCATTCAAAATATCCCCACTTTCCTTGATTGGCCCTTGGATGCTTCCCTAAGATTCCCTTTTTAAACATCAATCTTTGTGCTAAAATATTCCTCATGTCATGATTTTTGGTCATGTATTTCAGTGAAAGGGTGGAGTAAAAAAAAAAAAAAAGTTTGCCCAGGAGAAGGAGGGGGTCACTCCAATGGCTGGAAGTTGGCTAACATTCGGCTGGAGTTTGAATGGGAAGGGCCATTCTGAATGGCTGCTACTGTATAATTTTTCTATACTATATTATAACTGGGTTTGATTAAACATGATTGTGAACAAATGTATGTATTAAGTGTGACTGTAGATCAAACTATTAGGAAAACAAGCTATTAATATGGATACATTTCGAGTTAACCTGTGTGAACTCACATTAGAACTATTTCCAGTGAAGGATGAACTAACATAACACTGGGTTGTATGGATAAACTTAATCTGTAATTTTCACTGTTTGTGTTATCTAGAAAGTCCCTTATGTGCTACAGGCAAGAGAAGTCTTCATAATACATAGCCATAGACCTCTATGTAATAACAATCTCAGTCAAGTGTGAGTTTAGTTTAAACCTTTTATTCTTGTTTCAATAACCCTATGATATGATAGATATCTACTGAAGGTTATTGGCCATAACCTCTCACCAGAATCCCACTTAAACGAATGGAGAGAAATCTCTTATGTTGGCAATGAAAGACCAGTAATTACTCACTGTCAACCCAATTATAGATTAATCAATCAATAATTTTGAAAACAATTAGCATTTAGCTCTCTCTTGACTCTTGAAAAAAAAAATGGTAACAGCGCTCCATAATAAAAAAAAACACCCCTTTTAATGAGTTATTTCACGCCGTACACTATTAAAACTAACATAAGAACCTAAGATTATGGAGCTATGTCAGGCTTAAAACATTAAATGTTAATCCTAATCCTGGAAGTTTTAGCAAAAGGCCACATGATGAACAGATTTCTTTTGAATACCTAAGTCTCTTCAGATTTTGCATAAAACAATATGTGTATTTCTCTAAAAAAACAAAACAAAAATAAAAACATTTAAATTGTGACAAAGATAAAGATTTTTTTTTTGTTCCTTTACAAATCAATAATTGATTTAGTGTTATATATAATCAAATTTAAACCAAAGTGGACATGGTTCCTGAATCCATTTGCACTTAGACGGTCATTTCTTTAAAATATATTATCAAACATTTATCAGCTTATTGTACCTTTTTAAGGTGCATATTTAGACCACATCTCTTTTTTACATTTTCTTAAGACAAAAAAAATTTGCAATAAAAAAAATCAAAGTGCACACTATAGTTTTCTTTCTAAATGGAACCCTATGTTTATACTTGTGACATGTGAGAGAAATGTAAAGATTTATAAAAAAAATCTTTGAAGCAAAGTTTGTTGGATCCACATCAGTTTTAAAAACTGAAATGATGCCAAAAGATATAAGTCTAAGGATGCCACTGCATGAAAAGTGGAAAATCATGATGTGAATGGCTACTCTCTTTCTCAGAGCAGAATCCTGCACCATCAAAGCGGGTAGCCTGCTCTTTGCTTGACTGTAGCTCCAATGTGCCTGAATACAAAAACTGCCGGAGAGGAGGGGAAAAGGAAAACTCTTCAGTCCATAACTAGCTTGTTGCTCCAGCATTATCTCCATTGTTGGTGCAAAGCTAGTGCTAAGACAGCCAGCATGGTTGGCAGGGCTATGGGAGGTGCAAGGTGCACAGCAGAGTCCTCCACAGGCCCGCTCCGGTCAGCTCTCACCACTGGAGTTTCGGTAGCAGCACTGTACATGTCTGTAGTGCAGCCCTCTGTGCATCCGCTTCCACTGCCTGAGCCGCTGCCTTCATCGCCTGAATTACAGGAGCAGAGCAAAAACCCAAAAGGGCACATCAATGCCTCATTTATTCTCAGAGATAGAGAATTCAAACTTGACATTTAAACTTGTATAAGATGTTGATTTATATGAATTAATATGAAAAATGGTCAATAACTGTTTCTTCTAGATAATGTGTAATTATCATAGCTCATAAACTGAAGTACTTTAGTTTAAGTAAATAAGAATTTCTAACCTATAAAGTAGTCTAACATATTTTTTTCTGGTAAACAGTTTTTGTTTTGCATGATTTCTGTTGCAACTTTCTGACATAACCTTTAGGTTTTGTGCTTTTAGTTTAAAAACTTCCACTGGGATACATTACCAGTCAAAATAAAAATGGTTGACACAATCTTTATACTAATGACAATCAGCTGTAGTCCTCTTTTTTCCATTTAGTGTTTGAAAGTTTTTTTTTCCATTAGGCCTTTTATGGACAGGTTTCAGTCTATCCTTTCCTTTATCACCCAAACTCTGTCATCAAGCAAGTCATGGTCCCACCCAACTGGCAGCACAACCCTTAGAACTTAATCTTTTTAATCAATAAAACTTCTGTTCCTATTAGATAGTTTGATGCTTCATGAAAGTACCTGAACTCAATTTTATATAGGAAAGCCTGATATATTGCCTATAGATTTCTAGCATCTTATTGTGATTTATTTAATGGTTGAAATCATGTGGTTCTTATGTGTAACAATAGCTGTGCTTTACTTACTATTGTTAAAGCTATTAAAAAAACAATAGTGATTCAAAGGAAATGGAAGCTTGGCATTTTTTTCAGTAAATTAGTAAAGCAATGTAATTTTGCTAAAAGTTGGCAGAACATGCATGATTACACGTTTCTCTAATAAGAAAATGGCAAGGGGAGCTGTTCAAAGAAAGAGTCGTGTTTAAGTTGTGAGTCAGAATATTTTTATATATTATATTTTTTTCCTGGAAGCATATAATTAAGGCTGGAAGTAAGGCTTAATCTATCTAGATAATTTTCAAAAAGGAACAACAGCGATGGAGCAATTGCCTCTTAAATTTGTTTAGCTATTTGTTTCTACTCTATATTTTTACTTTGGTGATATGATGAATAAAAACACGTTTGTGCCTGCGGTTTATTAAAAGGTACAACTGGAAGGTTGTGAGTTTGACTACAGCTTCCTGCTGTCACATGGCAATAGATTTAACTCTAAGCTGCCTCCTTATCTGCATATGGATGTTCAAATGAGTTAACATGGCTATAATGTAAAATGCTTTGATTATATAAAAAAAAAAACAGAGTTTAGTATATGATAAATCCAGTACACTTGCCAAAAATTATAATAGTAAATTATTCTTACTGCCATCAAAAGCTAAAAAACCCCAGCTTTTATTGATTAGAAAAAAATTGTATGGGTGCACTACCTTATCATGGGTATGTTTAAACATGGATGCTTTGCGTTTCTACTGGAAAAACACAGTGCAGCCGTGCATGTAAGATATGTTTTAAATGTTCCAACAAGCAAAAAAAAAAAAAAAAAAAACAACAACAAAAGAAAAACAGTGTGACAGCTGCCTGAAGCAAAGCAGAAAAAAAACATTCAGACTCATTTGTCTACACAACAAATCGGGTTAAGAACTTACTTGTGTCTTGAAAGTAGATGTCATTGCCATGGTATGCATTCCTTAGTTTGTTGGTCATCACCCTCAGAGCCATGATCTGTTGACGGATGAAGGTGTCAGGACGTGTGATGTCGACACCCACCTCAGGATTATTTAGCTGGTTAGTAAGGCCATCCTTTTGGACTTCAGGGAAATACCTTTATTGAAAAAACGTAATTTAAAAAACAAAAAAAGATTCTACCGCATTAGTTTCAAAAAGGCAGTTGTTATGCAAAGACATCAATCAGAAAGAATTATCATCAGAGGCTTTAGGGAAGCATGAAACAAGTGCTTTTTTTTTACCCAATATTTAAATATGCGTCTAATTTTCATACAGCAGTTTGGGAAATGGCGCTCAAGGGTTACAGCATATATAAAAAATAGGAATTTGACCCCATAATGTCAGTTAATGAACTGACATACTGGTGAGGTATTTCTCAAGGGAGAACTGTGTCAGCTGCCTGCTCTCCTGCTGAATAAATAGGCACCGGGTCGCCATGTGATGGAATTCCACTAATCATCTGACACAACAGTTTGTTTTCTCATAAACTCCGATCACTCAAGCTAAGTACCTCTGAAATGTCCCTGAATTTGAAAAAGTAACGGTTTTGTTTGTTCCTTGACTCATTCAGGCTGGATTAGTAAACAGTGCCTTTTTAAAAGGTATACATAGTTCTCCAATCTCTTCACATTTGATGAAAAACAACCAAAAAAATGTTCATTCGTTTCAGTTTATGAAACGAATGTGACAGAAAAACACAAAGCAATGTACCACTTTGATGTCAAGTGAACAAAACTATTTAAAAAATGGAGGGGTATTCATTTGCTTTCATTTACTCTGAGCCTCCTAAAAAAATTCAATGCAAGCACTGGAATTTCTAATCAGTATATTACCAGGCTACCAGGGTATAGACAAGTCTGTAGCACTGATAACATTTAATCAGGCATTTTAAAATGTAGTCCTTTATGAAAGAATATCTGCAGAAATATTGGTAAAAAAAATCACAAGAAGCACAGTTTGCAGTGATACAGAAAATGCTTATTTTAAACAAAAAAAACAAAAAAATAAATCCTCTATAAATACTAAAGCTACATGCAGCAGAGAGGTGTACATGTCATCCCCAGTGTAAAACATGGTGGTGCGAATCCTTTTCTTCAGGGAAATAGAAGCTGGTCCAGGTCAGTTAGAAGAGACAGCGCAAACACTGAGCTATTTAACAAACAATAACCAAATGTTTTAGGCGTAAAAAGTTGATCAAAGAGTCTCTAAAAGACTTGCCACTGTAATTACACACATGTTTTAAACCTTTTTTTTTTAATCTTCATTACTACAATAAACTGGTTCATGTTGATCTTTTCCATTAATGTGATGGAAATACTGTACATTAAAGTGTTTTTTCCATGAAACTCTCTATACATACATTTGCATCTAAGAGGGCAGTAGGAGTTTTTATTTTTTCTACATAAAGAGAGCAGATTAGGAGTTAACACTAAGCTGGTTAAATCTACAGAAAAAATAGAAATTGGTTCTCTAAGAATGGATAACATAAATATTCCAACTGATATCTAATATAATAAAAGACGAATACAGTAATAATATACTAATACATCCTTATTCTAATTAAACACCTCTTGATGAAAATATGCCAAGCTCCCTGAAGTGAAACGGCTTCCCCCTTAATTCTAAGATCAGACTGCTTAACGCCAGGCAGGCTGAACAGACTTTGGACTTTTAAGTAACCTTTTGTGTTAGCCTGCATTACGCTCCTGGGCAGCATTCCCCTTACCTGCCCTTGGTGTGTCCATTCCAGCAATTCTCCTCACTGGCGTTTCCTGCAGTCACTCTGTCATCCACACATATTGCCTCAGGCAGGCTTGACCAGAACTTCTTGGACAACTTCAGTTTCTCTTTTATGTCCACAACCTAATAAAAGACAAATGCTTTTAGACAAGTCTAAAAAGTTTTGACAAAACAGCAATGTGCTTGTTATTTTACTTAAAATATTTAAATTATATGATATAATACATTATAATGTAAAAAATTTTATCAAGAAAGGCAGGGCTAATAAATATTTTTATTTATTTATTACTGAAATTGTGATTTAACATTTAAAAAGCAACCAATGAGATGCCTTTAAATGCCTGTGTAAAAAATATAACAAAATAAAAGCACTCAACATATGTATCTACAAAATGCATCATTTGCTTTAGAGTCATCTTGAATCTGCTTTAACTTTAACTTTTCCAAGAAAACCACAAACTTAGATATTTGTCTAATATAAACAAATTCTCAAAAAAAAAACCAACAACAACAAAATAACAAGTAAATCATCACTTGGTTTATAAAAGCAACCAACTACCTGGGTACAAGTAATTATAAATAAATCAAGAAAGTGTTTATGAAAACAAATTGTGAAGTGTGACCTAAGGCCATGAAATTTGCATGGAGCCTTAAGGTAGATGTATAAAAGAGAAGAAAACAACAACAACAACGACAATAAAAAAAAACACACAAAAAAAACAGGGCACTGTCTAAAAAAAAGGATAATTGAATATTTCCCTGAATACTAGTCATCATACTAAAATGACTGTGTAGCGATATGGGAAACGGATACAAAATACAATACATTCACTTTACACACAGAACCATAAAAACATAAGATAAGGTGGGACAACTTTAAAAACCAAATTTGATGTATTTCTAAACAGTGTAAAATTGAAAAGTTCTTTTCAAACTGAAAACTGCTTAAATTATGGACAGAGCAAGTAATGCTGTACATTTAATGCCAGAAAAACAAAACAATTTATTTCACTAAATATTTCAGAGACATAAAAAACACATACAAATGAGGAAAATGACTGAGTAAACTCTGCAATACTGTATTGTATTTTATTATTATATTTATTATTTTTTATCATTATTTATTTATATAAATATATATTAAAAATAAAAACTTGTTAAAACTGTAAATTTACAGTCATTTTTACTATTTTTCAAGGCTGAACTTTTAAAAGATGAAATTATCCAGTGAGCTGTTTCCAAACGAAATTTCTTTTTGTTTTACACTTGTGTAAACAAAATGACAAATACAATCTGTCTAAAGTCTAAAGTCTATAATCCTCTTTATTTATATTTATTAATCATTTTTAACACTGGCAGAATATGATATAAAACAATTTTCATTCCGCAGATTATCTATCAGTTTCAACACAGGAATGTGGCTTGACTTTAAAATGCTAATATTACTGTACTTATAATCAGAAGAAAATACAATAAACAATCAGTTTAAAATTTAATCTGCCAGAATTATAAAAATTTTTGAGTTATCACATTTACTACAAAACCCTAAGATCTGAACAAATAAGTATATAGTGCATAATACATACAAAATAATAATAAATGTCACTTTGTATTTTTTTTTTATTTAAGTTGCATTTCAGTGACATGCATTGTATAGAGTTTGTTGTAAAGGAATGTACATCCACATTATAAAAGTATGCATGATGGATAAAGTTGGAGAGGAACCGTAAAACTTTTTCTTTCTGAAATCCAACCTTGAAGAAGCAGGATATGCATATTACATATAATCCTATTGTTTTTCATGATTTTCTTATCTCAGTTTATAGAGTTTAACTGACATAATTTATGTGCTTCAAATGTTATGCCTGTTTATTTATTTTTTATATTTACCAATTCATAATTTTTTTTTTATTCATTCATTCACATTCTTTTTTCATATCAAAAGCCTAAATGTCTTAGCTTCCCAGTCAAATGTCTAGATTTAATTCCAAGACATCAAACCTCTTAGACTCCTTGAGTTTAACTTTTTCTCCTGTTAACTGAATATTTGCATGATAAAAAGTAAGACCATGCAGGCTTGAAGCAATAATTTCAGCTCGAATGTCAGACCTAAATGGTCCCTTTGCATCCCAGCCATGTGACAAAGTCAGATATCGTTCCCTGACTTAAGCCTGTTGAACTCAAATCTTTCATCAAACACATAGAATTTGACATATTTCAGTGCAGCTGAAGGAAAGCGTGATAGCAGCAGGTTGGCCCCATTATCTTTTTCCGTCTGACTTGCTGTTGGCTTACGTGAAATTGTGGTGAACCTGAGCAGAACATGAAAGGTGCTGCACTGCCTGTGTGACGCCGCTGTAGGCCCTGACTCTGCTTTTGATGTGTTAATCCTGTCACACTGATGCCAAAGCACTTCAGCGGCTCTGATACTGCCCAGAGGGGTCAGGGCTGCACTCAATGCAAGAGTTTTGACTGGCAATGTTTGACTAAACCTCACACATTAAGTTTAGTTTCACAAATAACAGAGATTCAGAGCTTTACTTTGGTATTTGTCGAGGTGGGTGAAAAGTGTGACTTTAATATGGAGTGACTCCCATTTTAGCAATGCAAATATTTGATTAGCACATATGTTAGGCACAGTTGCAGGAAATAAACCCTTAACTTTTTCCAATTATTTATGGATACAGGAAATATATCCTTTATGTGAAGAACTAACATAAAAATATTAGTTTAATTTTAGATTCATTAGGCACAATGAGTAAAAAACTGCAATTTTTCAACTAGCTCAACAAAAAACAGCTGTTTAAAATTGAAAATTTAACATTTACATTTAACATTTAAAAGGAAACCATTGAGATTAATACAAAAATAACTGATTTAGAATGCTGCAAATATTTGTTGCATTCAGAGGAATGAAATAAATTTGCCTCTGGAAAAAGTCTGCCTCTTCTGTCACTGCTAGTTCCCTCAATGATGCGATGCACCAAATAAAACACTAGATGGCAGTGTGTGGCTATGAAATGAGGATCTGAAAGCAACAAGACTGGAAGAGTGGAAATAAAACTAATAAAAAACATATCAAAGCAACAATCTCTTTGCTAATGACATGAGACTCCAGGTAACCTTAGATCAATTGCATCAAATTGTTGTATGCGGAGGGAAACACATTTGGTAAAATGCATCTAACACATTCTTAGAAACACGACAGCATAATTTGTCTTTGCATGTGAGGGAGAAACATATTACGATCTGCTATTACAGCACTGACAGCTCTGACATCCTCATTAAAATCACAACAAGGATCACAGAAGACAACACCTCCCCCTCTCCCTTCAGACCAGGATATTACTCTGTATTTGTTTTCATTGTTATCCTACCAAATGACTGTTATTATGAGAGCTGATACTAAAGATGGCTCTGCTCTATAATAACGATTGACAAGGCAGCGGAAAGAGAGTTCACTTCCGAATCACTGCCTGTATCTGAAGATGGGCACATTTTCAGATACAGCTCTTCTTAGGAAATGTTTTTTTCTTTTGTAATTTTTCTCCTATTTAGAAAATTGTACAGGTATATAGAATTAGAATTTTATAATATTTTTTTTTTTCTGTATAACAATGATCCAAAACACAACATGTTCCCCTTAATTGCTAAAAAAAAACATGCCAATACAAAACAGAAATAACCAAGTTTTAGAGGTGGCCTAGTCAAAGTCTCTGTTTGAGATGAGGTGTGGATCCTATAGAACAATATAGAGTATATATAGTTAGAACAATTAGAGTGGGAAAAAAATTCCTGTCAAAGACTTGTTGAACGCTCGCTTAAACCCAAATGGCAGCTGCTGTAGTAAAAGTTTCCACAGCCATTTGTCGGGTTTAGAGGGAAAATGATTTTATTTCACAGAACCAATGATTTGTAAAACCTTTTGCTCTGTTAAATAAAATCATAATGTCACATTTTGATTTGAAACATAGAAGTGTGGCAAAAAGAATAAAAAATAGAAGAAATCTAAAACAGTTTTAAATTCAATCTGCTGTATCCATGTTTTCTCCTTACTAATTCTACATTAGCCCGTTTTACCAAGTGGATTGTGTCTGATTCAGTTCCCTCTGCTTTCTGCAGTTTGTTATGAGGAGCCGTTGCTCTAGATAAACTAAATGTTCTTAGAGATTATTTCATGATTTTCTTTTTATAATATTCATAGACATACACCTTTGGAACAGGCAGTTATGCTATTCTAATTGTATTCAAGCAGTACTGATATAACACAGTCACATGGTGAACTCAATCAATAAGTGTAGTTGTTATTTTACTATAATTATCCTTTTCTCCATTTCTAAACATATCGTTATTGGGGACATATACCGAGAAATAATTTTAAAAAAGGCATCCCTCCAGCCATTTTCTGTCACTCTTAATCCTGGTGGGGTCGCAAGGGGTGCTGGTGCCTATCTCCAGCTGTCAATGGGCTAGAGGTGGGTAACAACCTGGACAGGTAGCCAGTCTATTGCTCAACACAGAGACAAACAGGAAAAACATCCATTCATGCACACACTCACACCTAATTTAGAGAAGCCAGTTAACCTAACATTCATTGTTTTTAGACTGTGGGAGGAAGCCGGAGGACCCAGAGAGAACCCAAGCATGCTCGGGAAGAATATGCAAACTCCATCCAGAAAGTACCCAGGCTGGAAATCTAACCTCCAACCTTCTTTCAGCAGTGCTACCCATTGCACTACTGTGCAGCACAAAAAAAAAAAAAAAAAACATTACAATTTTCTACATTCCAACACAGTTTTTCTTTAATATTCAACCCATTTTAGGCAGCAGGGAGGCAGCATGCAGCTCAAATTTGTTCATAAGACTGGCTATTTACAGGGATCCAACCAGGTAATCTCACCCTTTGCAAAATGCAAGCACTCTGCTCTAACCACCAAGCCACAAATTGTCTAGGTAAAACACATTCCACAGCCAAGACATTAGGGAGGTAATCATAGTGTTTACTACTGACATAAAAACAAATTCCAGTTTCTTTGCTTATTTTAGTTCTCAGACTTCTTTTGGCTTTAATTTTGCATATGGCATATGTTTATATTTCAAATGACTCATTTGTTACACACCTT